ATCAATTCGATTCTTGTCAGATACGCATTCCCCCGCATCGTGATTCTTGATAGAAGATCCTTCCTCGTTCATCCTCGAGGGGGCGATTCTCAGAGAGGATTCCTTGCTCCGACTCAATCTTAGAGCATGAGCGAAGACAGGAATCTTGCGGAGCGCCGAAGTCACTCCCATAGGCAAATCATCCCGAATCGCCATCCGTGACTTCCGAGATTTGATGCTCATCTCCATTTTTTTGGAGAATGGCGGATACTGTCCGCCAGTTTCATTTCTTTTGGTGTTGTACGCAGATTCAGTGAAGTTCCTTCTCCGAAAGAACGTCCCGATCATGCGAGGACGATTACCCGTCACCAATGGAAGGGAATATTCATTCCGGAAGATTCGTGACTCTCTCGTCATAGGGTGTTACAGCTTCGCCCCTCGAACTCAGCGATTCTTGGCTAACGAGCGGAGGCTGGAGCGGCGTCAGGAGCCGGCGCAGCGCTGTAGTGGGGCTGATCCTCCTCTCTCTTGTCATATATAAGAGTGGTGGACTCAGAGCTCCGCAACCCAAATTTGGCGCGCACTCGTTCGCTATGGCTCGTACTAAGCAGACCGCTCGTAAATCCACCGGAGGAAAGGCTCCGCGTAAGCAGCTCGCCACCAAGGCTGCCCGCAAGTCCGCCCCGGCCACCGGTGGTGTCAAGAAACCCCATCGTTACAGGCCCGGTACCGTCGCTCTTCGTGAGATCCGTCGTTACCAGAAGTCGACTGAGCTCCTGATCCGCAAGTTGCCTTTCCAGCGACTTGTTCGTGAGATCGCTCAGGACTTCAAGACCGATCTCCGTTTCCAGAGCTCTGCCGTCATGGCTCTTCAGGAGGCCTCTGAGGCTTACCTCGTCGGTCTCTTCGAAGACACCAACTTGTGCGCCATCCACGCCAAGCGTGTCACCATCATGCCCAAGGACATCCAGCTGGCTCGTCGTATCCGCGGAGAACGCGCCTAAGTCACTGGTCACAAAAAACGGCCCTTTTCAGGGCCACCAAATCCAAAGAGATCATTACTCAAAGCCCTGGAAAATTTAAGTGAGAACATGAGTCCCGACTTCCGACATACTCTGACAAATCACTTCGGAAGAGGACTATTTCATTAAATGATAAGCTCATGAGTGTTTTCCGAGAGCGGTTGACCTCCACAATTAACGCTTGTAATCAGAATCCGTATCTGAAGCATCCGTCCGTCTCCAGCCTCCTCCTTTAGGTACGCTGGGTGAGCTCATTTCAGAACTCTCAAAGCCTGAGTTCTACACTCCCAGCTGATGACAGAAACTATCCATCGATAAGATCATTCTCTCCCCTGCGCAGGCATGAACAGATTGAGAATGAGATCATGGAAGACTTTCCATTCCTCAAAAAGAATAGTTGCCCATGGATGAAAGGATGAATGAATGAATGATGCTTGAGCGCCCGGACTGTTGGTGGACTCCGATGCTTCTGCTCACAATTTCATCGGCGCCCATTAAGGATCCGGCGCGTTATTCCAGCATTCCATTTGGACTCGATTCGGTATCCGAGGCATCAATCGGCATTCCTGAGGCGATTAGCGAGTTGCGAGCGCCACCTTGGAGGGTATGATCTTGATTCTTAAGAAATGCTGAAGTACGCTCGAATCTGTAGATTCCCATGAGCATTCTAATGTTTCTTGATCGATTTGCCGTCGTGGCATCCGACCGTGTCGAGAATGCTTCCGAGGTTTCACCCCACTCGAACATCGGGTGCGCTGAGCCCCTGATTCCAGAACCCCCCGGCGAGACGAAGAGGACTTCAGCCCCACTCAGGAATGCGGAATGAGCTCCAAAAAATCTGTCTGAGGAGGTTGATGCGAGAAGAAGAACAGGGAAGAAGACGCATCTAAAGACGAAGGGGTTGAATCTGGTAGGTAATCGAGCATATTCTCAGATGACATCTCTCACTCTCACCCCTAGATCTGTTTTCAAGCTAAGCAAGGATATGAATGATCAAGGGGAAAACCCTGATTCAAACCACGAGCTGCTACTCTACATCTCTTGTGCAATTGGCATCCATGAGTCAGTTCCGAGTAGACTTTCTCCAGAACCCGTGATCGGGCATTTCAGGTTCAACAGATAGATTATGTATAGAATCGTGGGTACGAGCAAAGAGATTTTTGTGGAGCTGCAGACTCGAGCGAGAAGGGAAGACAATCTCGTTCGTTCTGGTGGCCCTGAAAAGGGCCGTTTTTTTACATCGGAGGATGCAATTTACTTGGATGACGTGTACTTGGTGACAGCCTTGGTTCCTTCAGAGACGGCGTGCTTGGCCAACTCTCCGGGGAGAAGGAGCCTCACAGCGGTCTGGACTTCCCGAGAGGTGATGGTCGACCTCTTGTTGTAGTGGGACAGACGAGAAGCTTCGGCGGCAATGCGCTCGAAAATGTCGTTCACGAACGAGTTCATGATAGACATGGCCTTCGAGGAGATACCGGTGTCGGGGTGGACTTGTTTCAACACCTTGTAGATGTAGATGGAGAAAGATTCCTTCCTCCTGCGCTTCTTCTTCTTCTTGTCCGTGGCACGGACGTTCTTTTGGGCCTTACCGGCCTTCTTCACGGCCTTTCCACTGGCTGCAGGCGGCATCGTTCAAGTCAAGCTCAAACGAGAGTGAGCAGCTCTGGTGGATCGTTTCTATTTGAGTGTTTGGACTGAGGCGGAAAGAGCGGAATTTCTGCCGCCTTTCGAGAGAGGGGCGGCTCCGCTCGGCGACAGAGCTCGCCCAGCTTCATATATAAACTGGGAGACCCGAACTCAGAGCAATCGTCAGTTTTCAACTCACGTACTATCAACATGTCTGGACGCGGAAAGGGAGGAAAGGCAAAGTCGAAGGCGAAGACCCGTTCGTCTCGTGCGGGACTTCAGTTCCCCGTCGGTCGTATCCACCGTCTCCTCCGCAAGGGAAACTATGCTGAGCGTGTCGGTGCTGGAGCCCCCGTGTACCTCGCCGCTGTGCTTGAGTACTTGGCTGCTGAAGTTCTCGAGTTGGCAGGAAACGCTGCCCGTGACAACAAGAAGACCAGAATCATCCCCCGTCATCTTCAATTGGCCATCCGTAACGACGAAGAATTGAACAAGCTCCTCTCCGGTGTGACAATCGCCCAGGGTGGTGTGTTGCCCAACATCCAGGCTGTCCTTCTCCCCAAGAAGACCGACAAGGCTGCTGCCTAAGTCATTCTTCGACAAAAACAAACGGCCCTTCTCAGGGCCACCAAGCTTTACAAGATCGATCCAACCTTTGAACCTGCGGGTCGACCAAGTCCATGGATCTCAAATTCAGTTCTTTTGCTGGAGCCTCAATATGGATTCAGATATTATATAGCGAACACTCTTCCCCGGCTCCTTTTCCCTTGATGAAATCCTCAGATCTTTCCCGCCCAAGTGTCGAGATTGAAGACACTCAACTTGAAGTATCGAGGAAGACACAATGAAGCTCAAATGTTCCTGAGCTCCAGACTCTGAATCGAGTCAATCATAATTGCCAAAAGGCTCTCTCTACGGTGAGGCCTAGACACGATATGTTTTCTAGGTACTGTATCAAGATCATGTTCATTCGACTCGTAGAGCGGCTGATGGTAAAGCGAGGCCGGTACCAAGGCTCTGATACTTGTTCACTCTGCCTGAAGTGCTCTGGATGGGAACAATTTCGCCTGGAATCTCAGATCGACCTGCGCGCTATCCAGGGAACAGGTTGGACTCGTACGCATCGATACTTCTGTCGGCAGAAATCGAAGGAGCTTCTCCTGAGGTCCTCGACGAGATGCACGTACGTCGCAGCTGTGTCCGAGACCGAGGAATATCAATCCTTGCTCAGAATGAGAGCCTGCTCCACTCGTATTCGAATCCCAGAGGGTGACGGTGCGCGATGCTTGAATCTCGTTGCTATTCCGAAGGACTCTCAGGGCGACTAAAGTACCTTCCTCTCCCCCTTCTGAGTTTTCGAAAATGTCGTCAATTTGTTGGGAAGAGTAATGATACCTCGGGAATGCAGCGACAGAGATAGAGCTCCAGGAAATGCTGGAGATCGCTGTGACAAAAGTCGAGAGTTTTCGGGGGAGAGTCTGGCTAGCGTGTCCGGCATCCTGGGTACCCCGCGGAAAGAGGAGCTCTGCTGACTTGTAGAGCGTCTGCTCTATGGGGCAGGGTCTCCCGAGAACTTTCCCGCGTTTGCCCATAGTCGGAGCTTGGAAGCTGTCCATGGCCGACCAGCGCACACAGAATATTGGTGGGAGCGGGCATCTCAGAGAAAATCTCAGCGATGACGAGAAAAAAGGTCCGGAAGCATCAGACTATCCGCAAATCATTGTCTGAAGTGATCCCCGTGTATAAATTCAGCTTCCGATGTATCTCGCCATGAGCCTCAAATCGATAGTACGGAAGACTCCGGAAGTCCCGTGACCTCTGCAAAATCGCCTGGACCCACCGGTGGGGCGCCTGCGCGGTCTCGGGAAACCCTGCCTTGTAGAAATTGACACGATTGGGTTTCTCACGGCGGGGAACGCTCGACCGTGCACGGATCGATCCCTGACTTAAATAAGAGCGTCAGCTTCATTTCCTTCGATCATATTGGTGATGAAAAATCGAAAGAACGTATGCCCGATGATCTGAATTCTCCATCGTCGAAAGACTCGCTCTCCGTCAGACAGGCTGCGAAGATTGGGCGACCCATGACGAAACGAGGAGACAGTGAAGCATCCACACAAAATTAAACTAGGTACCTAATTTGAATTCCCTCGATGAGCAACTGTCGCAGGTTCGGGTGACCACCTCATAGATATTGGTGGCCCTGAGAAGGGCCGTTATTTTTCTGCCGAAGGAGAGTTTGAAGTGCTCATGCTTATTTCAGTGAGAATACTAACGGATATGTTTTTCTTAGAAGCTTTCCGAGTAATGATCTCTTTGAGTTTGGTGGCCCTGAAAAGGGCCGTTTTTTTTCGAAGAGGAGTTCGAAGAGATTTAACCTCCGAAACCGTAGAGGGTACGTCCTTGTCTCTTTAGAGCGTAGACGACGTCCATAGCGGTGACGGTCTTCCTCTTGGCGTGCTCGGTGTAGGTGACAGCGTCACGGATGACGTTCTCGAGGAAAACCTTGAGGACACCACGGGTCTCTTCGTAGATCAAACCAGAAATACGTTTGACTCCACCACGACGTGCCAAACGACGGATGGCGGGCTTGGTGATACCCTGGATGTTGTCACGCAAAACTTTACGATGACGCTTGGCGCCACCCTTTCCAAGACCTTTTCCTCCCTTGCCGCGTCCAGACATGATTCTCTTTACAAATGAGAAGTTAAAACTAACTGGGTCGGAGGCATTTTATACCTACCCGGAGCACCGCTTCCTCCTCCATTGGGCGAGAGTTCGACTCATAACCGCGCCCCGCCCAGAGAGCGCCCTCGCAGCCTCCGATGCTCCAGAGCTCCAACGGTCGCTCTCACTCATACACTCCTTCCTATATAAAGCCTCGAGCCCTTGGATTCAGTTCCTGATAGGTTCGTCTGACGTCTCTCGCTATGGCTCGTACTAAGCAGACCGCTCGTAAATCCACCGGAGGGAAGGCTCCGCGTAAGCAGCTCGCCACCAAGGCTGCCCGCAAGTCCGCCCCGGCCACCGGTGGTGTCAAGAAACCCCATCGTTACAGGCCCGGTACCGTCGCTCTCCGTGAGATCCGCCGTTACCAGAAGTCGACTGAGCTCCTGATCCGCAAGTTGCCTTTCCAGCGACTTGTTCGTGAGATCGCTCAGGACTTCAAGACCGATCTCCGTTTCCAGAGCTCTGCCGTCATGGCTCTTCAGGAGGCCTCTGAGGCTTACCTCGTCGGTCTCTTCGAAGACACCAACTTGTGCGCCATCCACGCCAAGCGTGTCACCATCATGCCCAAGGACATCCAACTGGCCCGTCGTATCCGCGGAGAGCGTGCTTAAGTCACTCGAAAGCGTGCGATAGAAAAAAACGGCCCTTCTCAGGGCCACCCAATTCTATGAGATCATGACCTTATGGCTTACCGAAATACGTCTACTTCCCACAATAATATACGACACTATGCTTTTAGAGAACATGGGCGACTGGGGAGCTGATTCATTCGAGGATATCATATCTTGAATCCGACGCATGGATTAAGACGCCACTCATTATTGACGAACGAAAGAAAAGGGATGAATGAGGGAGAATTCTCCATATCATGAATTCCATATTCATTCTGATGAAACGCATCTTAATCCACGATGAAATCGCCACGTGGGTCGAGGCGAGCGGGAAGACTTTCACGCTCCAGATTTATTTCAATCAGGCTCGGAGCGGGTCTCATTCTTATTTTTGTGAATAGCTCCCCTACAGATGCGTCGGTCTGGTGGATTCAGCCCATTCTGATCAGAAGCTTCAAGGCAGTGATAGGAGCGATTCATTTTTCATCGATTTCGTTCAATAGAGCTAGCGATGGAAGTATAGCGATAAATTCCATACGCCAACACTTTCTTGACAGATGCACGGACTCCGACCTTTGGTACATTCTAGTCGTTCCCACATGAATACCCCCCATGATATCGGAAGCATATGGAAGAATTGCTCCCTCAGGTACCTATCCGAAGTATTATGCGTGTATTTTATTATGATGCACATAAAATTAAGCTGCCGTATCGCCGGTTTTTATCGGGGAGAACTTTGACTCGAGGCTTGGGGATATTTGCTCTTGTTCATTTTGGTGGCCCTGAAAAGGGCCGTTTTTTACATCGGAAGATGCAATTTACTTGGATGAGGTGTACTTGGTGACGGCCTTGGTTCCTTCAGAGACGGCGTGCTTAGCCAACTCTCCGGGCAGAAGGAGCCTCACAGCGGTCTGGACTTCCCGAGAGGTGATGGTCGACCTCTTGTTGTAGTGGGACAGACGAGAAGCTTCGGCAGCAATACGCTCGAAAATGTCGTTCACGAAAGAGTTCATGATAGACATG